TATTACCACCGGTTCCGTAGGACACTGTTCTGGCGATTATGGGGAGGGGGCTTAGGTGCTCTGCATAACCTACTGTTGCTGTGCAGCGTTGCCTATAAAACTGGTCAGTTCAAAAGTTCTCTTGGTTTATTTTTCCCGCTGTAAGCCTTATTCTGCAAAATCAGCTTTTCTCCACTATTTTTAGTCTACAGTATGTTGAATGTTGCAAGCATAATGCCACAATTTGCGAATAACAATAATCACTCGCTAACCAAAAATAAGTAGGGTTGCAATACTGATTATCGTACAGTCTAATTTCAAGTCTTTTCAGTCACGTCAGGATGCCCGCTGTTTAATGAGCTTCTTTCTGCCCGCTTACAAAATGTAGATCCTGAAAAAATGGCCACTTCAATAGTATGTCTTTTATCATTGATTTTGACTGCCTGTATAAGTTCAAATTTATTTTATAGAAGACATGCACGAAAATATTCCTTCTTGCACTCGTTTGGTAGCAAATTACACCTTTTTTTACGTATTCTACTTAAAGAAAGGGTATCTTTCTGTTTTAACAAAGTTTATAAATTGCCGAATAATTTTGAAATTCACTGACTGCTACACTTGAACTCAAGGTTTCCAAACAACACGCCGTGTACATTCTGTTTAAGGAAAAATCAATGATAAAAATGTATGCTATTTAAGTGACCATTTTTACAGAACCTAAATTTTGTAAGCGGTCAAAACGAAGCTCATTGAGGAGCCGGCATCCTGACGTGACTGAAAAGGCTTGAGATTAAACTGTACTTACTTTACTTACTTGTACTTGTTACGGCTGCGATCATGACTGATCTAGCCGGCCTCAATTATGTCCCTTGTGGTGCTTCTCCACGCGCAACGGTCCGTGGCCGCAGACCTAGACAGTTCGAGCCATTCTCTTCGCCAGCGCCGAAAACCGACTACCGAAGGTCAAAGAACCACTTCCATGTCCTGACGGACTGATACGAGCCAGGTTTTGAGTTGAACCCCTCTTCGACGTTTCCAATTAGGCAATAGTTTCAATTCGGGGCAGTAGCACTGAGCTCTTGAGTAGAACGTGTCCAAACCACCTCAGCCGTCTTTCCTGAATGGCCTGGGATATCCGTGTGATTTTGTCACAGCGATTGCGGACTGTCTCATTTGAAACTAAGTCAGTGTATTTCACTCGAAGGATGTTCCTCAGACAGTAGTAGTCAAAGACTTCCAGTTTCTGTTCATCCTCCACC